AACACCTACTTTCAGCGACTAATGGGGATTTTCTCACGTGGGCATCCACAAGTGTAGCCCCATTCCCCGGGCTCGGTTTTCCAACCCGAGATTTGTGCGGACGACCCAGAGACCCGTGACGGCCCCCAGAGGGCGAAACCTCCAAAAAACCTGCCGCCGCCAGATTCTCAATACAGAAGACAAAGATTGGGTCCCCCCTCCTCGAATGGCTTTCGGACCATAACTCAGACCTCCCGCGGCCGTTCGGGACGACTCGGGCGCCCCTGGAGCGCTCTCGGGGAGGCGGAGGTGCTGGAAAACATCAAGGACAAAGAACAACGAATGAAGCTCTTCAGGCTTTGCTTGAGAGCCCCAGGAGTCGGCTCCCACGCTCCGAAACCTTGAAGACCTTCCGAAGACAGCTGGGCTTGGCCAACCAAAACACTGAACACCCTCCGAGAGCCTTCCGAAACACTCATCACCTCTTGACGACCTGCTCAGAGGTCTTCTCGGAAAGCAGAGGGCTTCCGAGGCAATTCCTTGATTCTCTTGTAGTCCTTGAAGCCCGTACCGTCGGTCACAAACGTAAATAATCACGTGGTAGTCGTCGAGGCACGTAGGCTGACTACAAGCGTTGCTTGAAGTGATGAAGTCATTGGGGTCCACAACACATGTATACATACTTATATATATATATATATGTGTATATACACATGTATAAATGTGTATATATAAATGTATGTATATAAAACACAAAACACGCGCCTTCTTGGCAGACCCCCTTCCCTCTCAGAAGGCGCCCCCCCTCGCTCACCCCCGCAGCTGGAGGCCGCCCACCAGTGAGACTCGAGCAGACGGGGGTCGGAGAAGCGCGCCGCGCCGCCGATGCGTCCCCGACGTGTCCGCGACGTCTGCGCTGCATCGGTGACGTCGGCATGGCGAAGAAACTGGGCTCCACTGGCGAGGGCGTCCAGCTGAGAGTGAAGGGGCCCTGGGACACACAAATAAATACACACAAATAGAAGGACTCCTCATATCTTCCCACATTTTCTGGGTTTTTGTCTCCCCCCCCACTTCCCATATTTTCCTATATTTTCTGGGGATTCGACAATTAATTGTGTCTGTGTGTTTTTTCCCTCCTGAGAAAGGGGGTGGAGCAATAGATTTGGGGCAATTGGATTGCAAATGTACTGCGCCGGAGAATTGGATTGCATCGTATTGCAAGTCATGCGCTGCACGCGAACATCCAGCAATACATTTGCGCCCCGGAATGTATTGCACGCCCCAAATGTATTGCAACCTCACAAATCTGTTGCACCAAATCTATTGCACCACCCCCTTGTCGCTGGACCCCTTTCTGGGTCTACCCGAACATCGCAAGGGTGGTCTTGACGAAGCAGCGCATCTTACGGTAAATTTTGACTACGTGCCGCTGTTACCCTGCCCCCACCAGCCATCGATCATCCTGAATCGTTGGAATTCGGGGGGCAGGGCCTGGGACTCGACTTCCGCCACGAGCTCGCCGAATCCCGAACCCTGCCCCCGCCGCCTCTCGAGTTGCCTGAACCGCCCATCGGCTTTCGGCAGGCTTCGGAACGCGCCGCCGCTGTGCCTCCCTCGAGCCGGGTACGGAAAGAATGGGTACAATGCCCAACAACAAATGTTGTCCCAAACCAACAGCGGCCGCTGTTGGGCAGGCGGCCCTCTGTCTCAAATGGACACAGGCCGCGGCGGCGTGGACAGCGAGTCCTGTTCAAAATGAACAGGAACTGTTGCTGTGCATCGTGCCCCTTCTTTCCGTACCCGTTTCGGGCGCCCAGATTCGGAAAGCGCCGCCGCGGTGCCTCCCTCGAGCCCGGCTTTTCCTCATGCACGGCCACGGCGGAGCTCCCGCATCTGCGCCCGCAGTCGCTTGGCGACCGGCAGGGGCTGGCGCTGCACCTCCAGGCCCAGGAGCGCCTCGGCCTCGCCGGCGTCGGCCTCGCGGGCGGGGCCGACGCAGCGGGGGGAGGGGGCGCCTTCGGCTCGACGCGAACAGTGGAGCCACCATCTCCTCCCGCTGCGCAGAAAAAAAATCACGACAAGGATAGAGACCTCCTAGATGAGCAGATGGAGTCGGAGGATCGCGCAGCATCGCCGATGCATCGACGATGCATCGTCGGCGAGGTCGGGTCTCTGGGAAGGCCTCCAGAGGCCCTCGCCGGGCCCCGGGTTCATCAAAAACGGCTCGGAATGCTCGGATCGGCGGCGAAGATTAGGGCGACTAACCCAGGGGCGGGCATTACACGTATTCGCCCGAGAGCCTTTTCGAAGGCCTAGATCATCCGCGCACCTGGATACATGTATTGCTCCCCTCTGGGGTATTCGCCCCTGTCGTCGCCTCCGATGGGACCGCACCGCAATCGTGACCTCCTCTTGCTCCTCCGGCCCCCCGCCCGCCATCGCAAAAGGAGGCCAGCCTCGTCCAGCAGGAACACGAGCATCTCCACGTCGTTCTCGGCGTCCCCCAGCGCCTGGGAGGTGCTCGATGCATACGCCACGTCGTCTGGTCGGCCAAGGAGCTCGGCGTATAGATCAGGGAGACGTAAGACTCGGGTAGGGAGGACTCGGGTTGGCCTGACGGGGGCCATCATAAAACGACGAGACCCAATCTGAAATCTGACGCGGGCTCCCGCTGCAAACGTCCCTCGAAAACTGGACCGTCAAAATCCAGGACGCGCTCGTCAAAAAACTTCCGCTAACCCGAGTTCCGGCTTACTCGAGTCTCACGTTTCCCCGAATAGACGCTCCCCTTTCTCGAGATGTGTGGAGCGGCTACACACCGAGTTCCTTCACCGATCGTCTTGGCTCCCTGCCCGACCAAATAAACGCAGGGTGCATGCATCGAACCGTCCTCTGCCCCACTGGCCGACTTACCAACCCAGGTAGGCATACATGCTAGTTCCTTCAGGTCTCGCGAGGCCTATGCGCCCCCACCTAGGAAATTTCGGAGGCAACTTCTGGGCGTTCTTCGTCTGAACGACTGAGCGCTACTCAGCTGAATTATGGGGCCATCGAGGCGGATTGCGCTGGATAAAACCAGGGAGTAAGCTTGAAAGTGTGGGATTAATCGGGGTTCGACCAGATTTAGCTGGATTCTGCGGGAGTTAGCAGTAAGCCAGATTAGGCCGGCTGTCAATCAGGAAAATACCAGCGCCGAGTCTGAATTTAACCTCCCAGGAGTTGCATCCTAAGAGGAACCATGGTCAATTGCGGATGAGGGGAGGTAGACGATGCTGAGCGCCGCTGCCAGCTCCAGCCGCCCGCCCTCGTCCTCCTCCGCCTCCAGCGCGGCCGCGAGGCGCGCGGCGCGCAGCGCAGCGGCGGAGAACTCCTCCGCGGGCCGGTCCTGTGGACTCGGGGCGGCAACGACGGGCGGCGGCGACGGCAGCGTAGCGGCAGTGGCAACGCAGCGACTCGGCAGCAGCCGCAGCGCGGAAACGGCGACGGCGGCAGCGGCGACAGCGGCAGCAACGACGGCGGCAGCGGCGACGGCAGCCGCAGCGGCAGCGGCAGCGGCGATCGACGGCGGCGACGACAGCGGCAGCGGCGACAGCGGCACTGGCGGCAGCGGCAGCAGCGACAGCGGCAGCGGCGACGGCAGCCGCAGCGGCAGCGGCGACGGCAATCGGCGGCGGCGGCAGCGGCGGGGCGGCGGTGGCAGCGGAGGGCGGCGCTCCTCTGGCGGGGCGGGTGCTGAGGGCGGCAGCGCGGGCGGCCGCGTCGCGCGGGCGCGGCCGCCCTCTGCGCGCGCACCGCGCGGGCCGCCTGCCGGCAGCGGCGGCACCCCGCCCTTGGCGGACGCTGGCTGTGCAACGGCACACATACTGATTGAACATAAACAGCATCAGTGGCACGCCGCCCTGGGGAACCTGTCAGCTTATTACGGCTGAAAAAAGCACCGGGCTTTCGGACACGAGTGGCGGCGTGTCGTTGATAATGTTTGTCGCTCCTGGATATCGTGGCTGGGGCCCGTCCTGGGCTGCAGGGTCGGTGTATGCGCCCTCCTCCCCTTCACCAGGATGGCGTGATCACCAGCTAAAAAAACAGCCAACACATTAACATAATGTTTCGGAGGTCCACGCGGATATCTTGTATCGGCGCTGGGTCCCGTCCCTGGCGCGCGGAACGCACGATGGGCGGTTCAAGGCGCCGGTCCAGGAACCCGCGCGGACATCCGACCGATTATATTTAGAGTACGATGATTTGTCCTCTTCAACGGAAGCGCGCGGACCTCAAAATGGTTGAAAAAGGTGAAGGGAAACTGGGGACGACGAGCGAAGACAGTACCTGAACATGTTTACCAGGGCTCGCTGTCGGCGTCGCTGCCGATCTCGGACAACATCCGCGGTTGGGCATCGTATGCCCACGCCCACATGTTCTGTTCAGTCCAAGCTTCAAAGGGGGGGAAAAAAAACACGGCCAGGGACTCGCGCAACCCCAGCAAAGGAGAATATAATTGTCCAATGGGAAACTACGTCGTGCAACACACGCACACACACACACACGCATACAGACTTGTTCGTCGGCGGCAAGGCAGAATGGCTGCACCAACGATAGAACTAAACGGAAATACCGAAACCGAAGGAAGATGACGGACAAGGTGGCCGCGGAAGGGGGAAGAGGCGGGGCCACCCAGAGGCAGAAGGCTTCTGTTCCGAGTGCACTGGCGCGGCCGGTTCCGTCAACGGGAACCACGACAGCAGCCGGGCCGAAGCTCTGAGACCCGCGTGCGATGACGGGCCCAATACGCGGAGGCAAGTACTGCAGTGATGCCGTCGGCGAAGTAAGACCAGGCACTCGCACGTCAGGAGAGGCGCCGTGTGGCAGCCTGAGTAGGTGGCTGGTTGACAAGGTACGGCAAGTCCACGGGCAGGTATAGGTTACAGGTTGCCACCAGCAAAAGGCCGCGCCCATGAGGCGGGCGCGGGCGGCAAGACCAGGCCCCGAAACACTGCGCACAGGGGGGCTGCCCGCTGCGGCAGCACCGCAAGCGCCGCGGCGGCGCGCGGAAGGAACGGGAACAAGGCAAGGGCGCGGGGGAAAGAGGGCAGGAAGGAGGAGCGCTCCGCCTGTAGGGAGGCCCCCGCAAGCGAAACGGCAGCCTGGGCGCCGGCGCCAACGGGAACTGGAGGCGGGCGGCCCGTGCACTGCGCTGCTGCGGTCACCTGCGATCCGCTCGCATCCCCAAATGGCAGGGCAAGGCAGCGGGCACGCGCCCTGCAGCCGACTGGCAAGGGACTGCCGAGCGGGCGCACTGCCTGGATCAAAACTGCTGCATTAGCCGCGGGGCCACGCGCTGTCGTGGCGGACAGCGCGCGGCGGGTCTAGGGGCACCTGACCGGTGCGGACACCTGCTGAGGAATGGCGGATGAAGCCGCGGAGAGCCGCACGCTGCCGGGGTGGACATTGCGCGGCCGATCAAAGGGCACCTAAGAAGTACAAAATCCGGCATGAAAGGTCTCAGCTGAAAAGGGCACGCGTCACGCGCCGTCGGGGCGGGCGGCGCGCGGCGTATAGGGGCCTCAAGATGGCCTGGAGGGCGGCGAGGAGGCCGACGCCGATGCGACTGGCTGCACCGCACTGTCTGGGTGGACGGCGCGTCGCGGGTCAGCGCGCGCAGATGCAGGGCGGCGCGCGCGAGCGCGGGCCACAGGGGCTGCGGTCGCAGGCCCCGTGCTGGCCCGGGGAGAGGTCTGAGCTGAGCAGTGGCGACGGCCAGGTTGGATCCCCGACTGGTGGTCCTGCCACGCTGGGGGAATAGCTTGGGGGGACTCATGGCGGGCGAGCAGCGTTGGCTGTCCAGGGCTGGCCGTGGCGCTGAAGCCTTCGATGCCAGGCGGGCCTGTCGGGTCCGGGCGGCGCTGCCTCGAATGCTGGTTGTTGGGTCAGGTGGGGCCAGCGCGTCTCTTGCCCTTCTCGACCGAGTCGTGGCCCTGCCCATCGCTTTGACTTTGTCTCGCTGCTGTTCGTTGCGCTGCAACGATACTGCTTGGGAAGCCCTTGCAGTCGTCCTCTGCCCAAGCACGTGGATCCCGCGGGGCGTCGCGGGGTCCGTCGGGGCTCTCTCGCCGCTGCTGCAGCCCATCTGCCCACTGTCGCCATGCCCTCTCCGCGTTGCCGTGCAGCTCCCGGGCGCGTTGCGCCACAGTATGCGATGGCGCGGTCATCCTGCCCCTCGGGCCCGGGTCGACCGGCTCACTGGGGCGCGGGGCAGCCGCATCCCGATCGGAAAAGGCTGGGACAGGGCGGGGGCAGCATGTCGGGGAGGTCGACGATGGTCTTTTCGGCGTCGGGGGGGAGACGACGAGCTTGCCGTCGGGCGCTGGGTCGCGGTCGCTCCACCATGATCGGGGGCTCCTGTCTGGGGGGGGCGCCGGGCCCGGTGCGGTCTGACGTCTGCCGCCTGGGACTTCTGGCGTGGCTGCGATGCCATCCTCGGTCTGGCGGCGGGGCGCGATCGGCGTCCTCTCATCGGCGGCTGCCCTGTTCTTTCTCAGGCTCTCCCCTGCTCCGTATCTGCTGGCGGGTGACGCAGCAGGTGACTTGGCGCGCGATGGTAGGTCCTGGTCCCTGCGGTCATGGTAGTCGTCTCCAGACCGTCGTCTCCGTTCTTCATGGGAGTGTGTTGGCTGGCTCCTGCGGTCGGGCCCTCGCGAGGATGTCGGATCGCGGTCCTGGGGCCTGCCCACTCGGCCTCCGCGGGACTTTGCCCTAGGGCAAGGGGGATGGCTGCGCGCGCGGAGGCGGGTTCCCCCTGGGCCCGCGGCGCAGTCGCGGTCGGGGTGCTCGGCGTGGCCTTGTCCTCGCCACGCAGACTGCATGGCGATGTGCGCTCGGTCTGCTTACCCGGGTGGCTGGCCGTCGCTGGTTTGGGCTGGATCACAGGCCTGGGTCTCCTATGAAACTTTGAAGGTGTCTGCAAGCGCCTCGTCCATCCTTTCCTGCTCCTGTGCGTCGGCGGGCTGGAAGATACCTCGCGCGGGCGTGGGGGGCGTCCCCAGCGACGGGCCCCCGGCAAGACATGGCGGCGCCAGCTTACACTGTCGCTTAGGCGGGGGGGGGTCTGGCCATACCTTGGCGCCGCCCCTGCTTAGAATCTGCACCACGCCCGACTGCTGCGCGTAGCAGAAGCCAACCAGGCAGCGCCCACATAACCAGGTGACATCACATTGCGTGCCCAGGAAGGTACTAATGCACTCGTTGAGGGGTGGCGGGCCCTGCATGGGAAAGGTCGGGTTGAGCGCCATCTGGGCGGAAGACGAACAGGCCCAATGGCCTGCGTCGGCACTTCCACTGGTGCAGCGGGCCGGATTCGGGGCAATGCTTTTCCACCCGTGCGTCTCAGCCTGCTTTTTGTCCGAACATGTCGTCGTCGGTGCGCGGGGCCTGTATGGTGGCGGAGACTGTGTTTGGGTCGTTAAATCCATCCTGGGGCAGCATAAGCCGTCAGGGGAGAGTGTTGGCGTCGGGGAGAACGACCTGCGTTGCTGCTGGCAATCGTTTCAACCCCGGGGGGTTGGGTGCAGCTGGTTGCTGCTTGCCGAAGTCAAGGAAAAAGTTGGCCAGCCTCGCGCCCTGCGGGACTGGCAGAGTTTTGGCCTCGTGGTCGGCTCTCCAACACAGGGTTCAGATCCATCGGCAATTAATGCCCTGCTTGTAGGCACTCCTGCGGCTGGGCTGTCAGGGTCCTGCGGATCTCTGGGCTGGCCCAGGCGCCGCCCTCGGGGCTGTGGGGGCCCCGCGAACACTCGTCGCACCATGTCTGGGGAGGCTGGGCAACTGGCTAAAACTTGATGTATCCTAGATGAAGAATCGAGGGGACGAGCGCGACCCTTGGAAGGGCACCCGTGGAAGGCTGGTTCGTCAAGCTCGCGCCAGCTGCTGGTCTGCCCGCTGCCTATGTACACGTCCTTTGTCGGGCCGAACTTCAGAGCCAGTTCGATCCTGAGAGAAAGAGCACACGGCGCGGTAATGTACTTCCAACGCGGACCAGTAGGCTGAGGCGGTGACCTGGTCGATGACCGCCAGCGTGCCCGTCAATGGGAAGACTGGGGCCAGCAAGTCGTTCCATGTGTTTGTGCCGTGTTTTTGTTTGGGCGGCGCCGTGGTAATGGGCGACTGAAACCAGACGCGATGAGGCTCTGATGAAGGACTCGATGTGCCCGTGGAACGTCCGAAAATCTTGCCCTGTGATTATATGCGCTAGGCCGAAAGAGTCTCTTACCCATAGTCGCGCCTTTTTGAATCGGACACATAACCCCAAACCTGTTGTCAAGTTTTGCGCAAGGCGCCATTCGGGGCTTGGGTTCCAAGACAAGCATCAGCACGAGTGCCAGCACGCTGCTAGCCCACGTGGTGCTGAGCGGCGCATGGTCGGGACCTCCTATAGTGAGCCACGCACGCTGCGGGTGTGGCTGCCAGGGGGCTGCACGAATGCACGTGGGTGCACACGCATTCGCACACACACACACACACACACACACATACACACATACACACACACACACACACGCACACACGCACACACGCACACACGCACAGCACACGCACACACGCACAGCACAGCACACGCGCACAGCACAGCACACACACACACACACACACACACGCACACGCACACGCACACGCACACGCACACGCACACGCACACGCACACGCACACGCACACGCACACGCACACGCACACGCACACACGCACACGCACACGCACACGCACACGCACACGCACACGCACACGCACACGCACACACACACACACACACACTCGGGCTGGCCGGGCCCCTGCTGGCACCCGCCCTCGGCCGCCCGCCCGCCTCCGACGCCCGCGGCGCAGGCCCGAGCGCCAGGCGCTTCTGCGCGGCGCCGCCGGGCGCCGCCGGCCTCGCTGCGGCGGGCGAGCGCCCGGGCGTGCCGGCGGGCCACCGGGCGCCCGGCGAGCGCCCGAGCGCCGCGGCGCGGCCCGCGGGCGCCGGCAGCGCGCTCCGGCCGCCCGGGCTGCCGCCCTCGGCCGGCGCAGCGCCCCGGCCGGAGCGCGCGGAGGCCCCGGAGGGGCTGCCGCAGGCCAGGCGGCTGGGCGGCGCCCACTCGAGCTCCGCCAGGTCGCCGAGCTCCGCCTCCCCAGACAGCGGGCGTCTCGAGAAGAAATCGAGGCGAGGGTTTTTGTTCGCAGTTTTTGGCCCCTCGGGGCCCTCGCCGGGCCTCGGGGCCGTCAAATCACGACTCCCGGGACGAAGAACTGGTCCCAGGGAAGTGGTCGGGAGGTCGGGGGCCTGCGCGCCTCGAAAAAATCGAGACGTCAGATGTCTGGGTCCCGAGCGGCGAGCAGATGTCCAGACGTCCACGCCCTCGCGGCCTGCAACTCTAATTCTCGGTCCCGTGGATGCGCGGTGGGCACGCTGTGAGATGTTCCGAGCGGGGGCGCCCGCGAGCCCCGAGAACGGCCCGCACCTGCGGGGCCGCGGCCCAGGAGGAGCCCAGCCCACGAGGCCGTGGATACGGATATCCTTTCCGTGCACGGCCGCCTCCGCCTCGTTCGGGAACTCCCCCTCGGCCGAGCCGCGCGCGAGGGCCCTGCGGCGCCAGGAGATGCACTCCGTGTGCTTCCTGCTCAGGGCCTCTGGGGAAACCAAGAGATACTCGCCGGACATCTCCCGGGATGCGTTCTGACGAGAATTTCAGAGTGCATCCAGCCTTGGCGATAAGGGCCTCCAGGGAGGCCCACAAAGACGAGGACGGGGGGGGGTACGGCAGGTTCGTGTCGTGACGACCCTAGCGTTGGTTTCTGACAGCACGTCGATCGTTCAACCTTGAACGATCGCTCCACATTGGTAGACTCTGGGCCACTGGTGGCGTTCAACCCTGAACGCCCGCGGCGGGGTCGCTACCTCGTCGGCACGACACGAACTAATCCCATAACCCCTTCGTCATGGTTTTGATCACGACGCGAGGGGGTCTGGGACGGCACCAATACTGCTAATCCCCAGGTCTCCCCCGCGTTGCGTTCTGACCAGAATTTCGAAGCGAATGCGACGAGGGTCTCAAAGAAACTCCCAAATCCACGAGATCCTTGCGAACAGAAGTACAGCATCGCGAACACTCAAGACTGGAGTCCATGGGCCCCATTTTTCTGCGGCGCTGTTCAAGCCCTATCGATGTGTGAGGGTCCCGGGGCCCGACACCGCGCGAGAACGCCCGGTGTGAAAAAAGTGCACGTAGAGGTATCGGCACCGTGATCCTCCCGCGAGCCTCGCGCCACTCGGCGGCCGTCTGCTCCAGCAAGCCTGGGGCAGTGCCAAGGGGGTCACCACTATTAGGCGGTGGACAAACCTCCCTTTAGTAGACCTCCCCTTAGTGAAAACGGCCTGGGACCGAAACCGACGGACCTGGACCCGCAAAAATGACGGCCGCGACGCCCTCTCGCGAACCGAAAACGGCCAATTCCTGAATCGACGTGTCACGGTAGGAGGTCTGTCCACCCCCGAACTATAGGGGGCCGCCACTCTTCGAGGAAGCGCCGCTTTCTCCGGCCAGTGGGCCCCGAAGAACACCCCGGGCCCTTCCGACACGGCCCCAGGCGTCCGCCCCCCCAAACTCCTCGAGCTTCCACCCTGGAGCCTCGATGTTGGAAGACGGCGGCCTTCCACCCGCTGGGCGCGGACTCTAAGGAGTCCTCGGCCCCCCCTCCCCAGCCCCGGCTTCCAGAACTTAGTTTTGGTGGTTCTTCAAATTTTCGCCGGTTTTCCAAGGGCCGATGGGTTTCCTATCGCTCGAGTGGCGAGCTTCCGGGATTGGCGACGCGCACAAGGGGGTAGGGGCGCGTGGCCTATACTCATACCGTTCGGGGGGCGAGCTTGCAGGAGGAACAGCTGACCCCCCTCGTTAGAAGAAGAAAGAAGGAACAAAAAACACAGAAACATAAAATTTTGACGTTCCGCTCGGATTTCTCGGATTCGCGCTGGACCCCCCTCCCTGGCGCGCTCCGCGCGCCAGGGGCGGCGCCGGAGGCGCCGCCGAGGGGGGGGGGGCAGGCGCGGACCCGAGAAACCCGCGCGGAGCGCCCAAAGTTTACTACGTTTATGTGTGTTCTGTTCTTCTTCGACTCGTGGTGAGCCCCCTTTGGCAAGGGCTCCCAACTTCGCGCTTCGCGCTTCGCCCTGCGCGAAGCGCGAATAACTTCGCGCTCTCGCGCCGCCTCCCAGGGGAGAAGTGGAGGGTGAGGAGGAATCGGAGCCGAAGCGCGAAGCGCGAAGAACTTCGCGCCCTCGAGGGCGCCCTTGTTTGGGCGCTGCCCGAGAGCCGAGGCGCTGCCGCGCGGTGCGCAGCTCGGCCTCCCGCGCGGGGGCGCCCGCCGCCTGGGCGCTGAGCACCTCGAGGCGCGTCGCGTGCTCCAGGGCCTCCTGCCGGGCCTCGCCCCGGCGCCTGCTGCGCGGGCACGGAGCCGTTCTCATCCCGCAGGCGGCCCGGGCACGTGCCCCGCCCCGTGGGGGCCCCCAGGCAGCCCCAAAGAGGCCCCCCAGAGCCCCCCCCCCAAAACCCCTCGGCGGCCCCAGGATGCGAGGCGGGGATTTATCCCTACCCACCGCCTGGGAGCCGACGTCCTGGTGCCCCAGCGGGCGGTGGGACAGATTTCGGCCGCCGGGGGCCCGAATATGTCAATATCCACCGCCTGCCGAGTGGATATGGATAAGCTCCAGACAAAACTGCCTCCCCCACCCCACCCCCCAACAGGCCCCCGATCACAGCTTCACTCGAAGGGAGAGGGGAAAAAGTGCAGGGGGTGCTTGTGGCGCAGTCCAACTTCGTAAGCCCCCCTGGCGCCCGGGACGCAGGGGGGGGACCCGGACCTCCTCTCGCGGTCCGAGAAGACTCCGCGCGCAGCTGCGAGCGTGCGCGTTCCTGCAATTTTCCTCCCCCTCCGGGTCGGTGGATCGCACCGCCTGGCCACTATTGGGTCGGGCATGTCCCCCTACAGGCCGATTTGGGACGAAAGATGCACAAGACTCAAAAAATATGCAAAAATGCTCAAACACGGTAAACAAAAATCGTCCCCGAACTATTTTTTGACTACGTTTGGATAGTCCTCCTGTAGAGGGAAGAGGCCCGACTTCGCGATACGGATCGATGCTGCGGGGCGGTCCCCCAGCCTCAGGTCGGGCGAGTCCCCCTGCAGGCAAATTTTCAACGAAAAATAAAAAACGTACCCAAAAATACTTTAACAAGTTTCAAAGTCCCAAAATTATTTCCCAACCATCCTGTGGTGTTGGGTCCTCGTTTTGAAGAGACGGTGCCCCGCGTCTCCTTCCTTCCTCCTTCCTCCTCCTCCGCCTCCCTCCTCCCCCTCTTCCTAGCGTTTCACCCGCCTAGTACAGCGCTTCGTAGCCCCATAGGGAGCTCCGCCGAAGGTGCTGCCCAGTGGCACACCCCTGCCCCCATAGCCCGAAGGCCCCAGTGCGTGCCCGCACACCCAATTCGGCACACCCCTCACACGTTTCGTGGCCCCATAGGGAGCCCCACCGAAGGCCCCAGTGCTGCCGCCCGCATGCGTCCCGCACACCCAATTCGGCACACCCCTCACACGTTTCGTGGCCCCATAGGGAGCCCCACCGAAGGCCCCAGTGCTGCCGCCCGCATGCGTCCCGCACACCCAATCGGCACACCCCTCACACGTTTCGTGGCCCCATAGGGAGCCCCACCGAAGGCCCCAGTGCTGCCGCCCGCATGCGTCCCGCACACCCAATTCGGCACACCCCTCACACGTTTCGTGGCCCCATAGGGAGCCCCACCGAAGGCCCCAGTGCTGCCGCCCGCATGCGTCCCGCACACCCAATTCGGCACACCCCTCACACGTTTCGTGGCCCCATAGGAGCCCCACCGAAGGCCCCAGTGCTGCCGCCCGCATGCGTCCCGCACACCCAATTCGGCACACCCCTCACACGTTTCGTGGCCCCATAGGGAGCTCCACCGAAGGCCCCAGTGCTGCCGCCGCATGCGTCCCGCACACCCAATTCGGCACACCCCTCACACGTTTCGTGGCCCCATAGGGAGCCCCACCGAAGGCCCCAGTGCTGCCGCCCGCATGCGTCCCGCACACCCAATTCGGCACACCCCTCACACGTTTCGTGGCCCCATAGGGAGCCCCACCGAAGGCCCCAGTGCTGCCGCCCGCATGCGTCCCGCACACCCAATTCGGCACACCCCTCACACGTTTCGTGGCCCCATAGGGAGCCCCACCGAAGGCCCCAGTGCTGCCGCCCGCATGCGCCCCGCACGCCCCCATATTCCAACGGCACGTTTCACACGTTTCGTGGCCCCATAGGGAACCCCGCCGAAGGCCCCAGTGCTGCCGCCCGCATGCGTCCCGCACACCCAATTCGGCACACCCCTCACGCGTTTCGTGGCCCCATAGGAAGCTCCGCCGAAGGCCCCAGTGCTGCCGCCCGCATGCGTCCCATGCGTCCCGCACACCCAATTCGGCACACCCCTCACACGTTTCGTGGCCCCATAGGGAGCTCCACCGAAGGCCCCAGTGGCGGCGCTCACATGCGCATGCGTCCCGCACACCCATTTGGGCACATCCCTAACAGGTTTCGTGGCCCCATCCACCGGAGGCCCCAGTGGCGACGCTCACATGCGTCACCCACACCCACCCAATTCGGCACACCCCTCACACGTTTCGTGGCCCCATAGGGAACTCCACCGAAGGCTCCAGCGGCCGCGCTCACATGCGTACCCGCCACCCATCCCAGCACGCCCCTCACAACAACAGGTTTCGTGGCCCCATAGGGAGCTCCACCGAAGGCCCCAGTGGCACCGCCTGCATGCGTCACCACCCGCACCCAATTCGGCACACCCCTCACACGTTTCGTGGCCCCATAGAGAGCTGCACCGAAGGCCCCAGTGGCGGCGCTCACATGCGTCCCCGCCACACATCCCAGTACACCCCTCACGCGCTTCGTGGCCCCATAGGGAGCTCCACCGAAGGCCCCAGTAGCGGCGCTTACATGCGTCTCCGCCACCCATCCCGGCCCCCCCCCCCCGCAGCAGCATCATGTTTCGGGGACCCATAGGGAGCTCCACTGGAGGCCCCAGTGGCGGCCCGCACATGCGTTTCCGCCACCCATGTCGGCACGCCCCGCGCGTGTTTCATGTCCCCATAGGGAGCTTCGCCGAATGCCCCAGTGGCACCCATCTCGGCACACCCCATCACACGTTCCGTAGTCCTATGGGGAGTTCCATTGAAGATGAAACCCGCAGCTGCGGTACTGACAACTGCATATGGTTGGGTTCTTCGCCAGGCTAATTTCTTAAACTATTTTTGAATGTTCCTCCTGTAGAGAAACACGCCCGACTCAAACCCAGCCCCATCTGCTCGGGCCCCCACTTGGGCGGCCTCCAGCAAGGGGGGGGGGGGGGAATCGCCAGGCGTCACAACATTGTAATGCAAGGGTCTCAGGGTACACGTCGCTCATGTCTAGTCATGCTCATTTATGATTGTGCTCGTTTCGAATTGTTCCTGGCCCCTTGTGACCAGGAAGAGGTCCAGGATAGAACAATTAGAGAACTTGGTCCCCAAGCAATCAAAGAAATTTCGAGGACTTAGAAAGCAACAGCGTGCACTGGTCCCTCCGCCCCACGAGGCGCGCGGCGAGGAGCCTGGACAGGCGCGTGTTCTCGCGCTGCCGCAGGGAGAGCTCCCGCACCGCGTCCCTCTGCTCGCGGGCGTGCACGTCCGCCTCCCACCTCCGCGGAGGGGCCGCACGAGAACGAGCGACCCACCTCTGCGGACGGTCGCCGTTGGGCGCGGCTCCATCGTGGGGGGGTCAAAGACGGTCCCCATCTCGGGTCCCTCTCGGGCCCCTCCGGAGCCCCAGGGGGCTCGTTCGGGTACCCTTTTCGGACCGCCCTCGCCCCCCCCCCCCCCCCATGTATGACCCCCCCCCCCTTGCGCAACGCCCAACCTACCTCTGCGGACAGTCGTCCGGAGCCTGGTGGAGACCAGGCGGGGGAGGCCTTTGCCTCCAGGAGGATTCTGGCATGATCGCGGCTCTTTGTTCGGACGCGCACCCCGACTGCGAGGCAGTGGAGACTGCGAGGAGGGAAAGAAAGCGGTGGCGATCGCCAAGGCTGTACGCAGAAACGCCTGTGCCGATCCGATCATCATCGTCCATTCGTGGCTCGTCCTCGCGAAGCGGCGACGACCCGCATGGATAGGGAACCCACAAAGGACGTACGCGCCCAACTATGTACATGAACGCGGCCCCTTGACCCACGAGACCAGCCGCGTGATACAAATACTCGCGCAATGCGAAATATCGAAACCAGCGTGGATTCATGCACGTGTACGTCCTTCTTTCGCTCTTGAAATGGACCATGGCGAAGATCGACGCCGACCAGAGCCCGCGACAGCCTGGAGGTGGTGATCTGCCCTGCCAGCCCCTGCAAGAGCAGAGCGGTCGTCGCAACACTCCGCGGCGGGAGGCCGGGGAAGAGTAGGGGGGCGCCGACGCCCGGGGGCGGGGAGCTCCTTGGCGCGCCCGCGCCGAAGCGTGGCCGGCCAGAGCTGGCGACGCGACACGTAGAGCCAAAACTCGGGGCCGCGCACTCAACCAGGACAGCAATGATGCGCGATAAAAGGATGCAAGGGCCGTGGAAGGCCACGTCGAAGCTTCTCGAGCGGGGCGCGAACAGCGAAAGCGGCGAAGGATGGACAGGGGAGGCAAGGATGCAAGGGTACCCTGGGGAGAGTTGCCCATCCTTACTATCATGGTTGACGGTCGCGTTTCGCGCCGAAACGTGGTCGGTCAGAAGTGGCGACGCGACACGTAGAGCCAAGACTCTGGGCCGTAACCAGCATTGAGCTTACAATCGACCAAGATAGTAAGGATGCGCGGTAACCGCGAAGAGTCATAAAAAAACACAACATTGGGAAACTAAATATTTCTCTGGCGACCTTATTGACGGACTGGGCCCCCGACAACAACGGAAACTAATGATTTTTCCCGCCGCCGCCGCTGACGACAACACCAACGACGACGAGGAGGAAGAGGAGGAGGGGGAGGAGGAGGAGGGGGGAGGAGGGACGGAAGGGGAGTGGGTCTTTCGGGATGTCTGCGTCCTCCTCAGGGCTTCTCCCCTGAAGGCTTTTCTGCTCAAAGGATAATTGCTCTGAAAGCTTTCGCCCGACGCTCTGAAACTCTCAAAAGCTCATTGCTCTGAAACTCATTGCTCTGAAACTCTCACTGCTCCGAAACTGTCACTGCTCTGAAACTCATTGTTGCGGAACTCACTGCTCCGAAACTTCTTGCTCTGCAACTTATTGCTCTGAAGCCTGTTGCTCTGAAACTCCTTGCTTTGACACTCATTGCTCTGAAACTCATTGCTCGGGAACGTTCTCAAGGGCGCATTGCTCTGAAACTATCACCCTGAGAGCTCAGGGGCTCACAACACTCTCACGAAACACATGCCAAGGAGCTCTGTTCCTCGTCCCCCTCCTCCTCCCCCTCCTCTTCCTCCACCCTTTCCTCCTTCCCCCCTCCTCCGATACTTCGATTCGTATTGCAAACCGAACTACAAACGAGCTCGAAATTCCGTGTCGCGCGGAGGGAGGCATTGTCCGGTGGGAGAAATAACCGTCCACCAAAGTTCAGCACGGCTGGCCTTAGTGGGGAAGTAACTCCTCCTCCTCCTCCTCCTGCTCGTCCTCGTCCTCTTCCTCCTCCTCCTCCTCGTCCTCCTCCTCCTTCCCCCCCCCCTCCTCCTCCTCCTCCTCCTCCTCCTCCTCCTCCTCCTCCTCCTCCTCCTCCTCCTCCTCCTCCTCCTCCTCCTCCTCCTCCTCCTCCTCCTCCTCCTCCTCCTCCTCCTCCTCCTCCTCCGTTAACCCGCGGCCCCAGCACCCACCTCGCTTTGCGATGGGTGTCCACTGGGGCCAGGCGTGTGAGGCCAGTCCACAGCACGTTCTACGGGAAATCTCCCCCGACTTGGGGCGGAAGCGCTGGCCACTTGTTGCCCAGTGCTAGACGAAGGGGGGCCCATCATATTTTTTCGCCCCCCGGCGCGGCTTTGAATAGGCGGCACGCCGAGGGACATGACAGGGCCCCCCTCCCCAAGACTAAGACTCACAGCGTGAATGCTGGGATAAGAACCGTGTTAAAGACAGAGGGGGGCCCATCACATTTTTTCGCCCCTCGGTGCGGCTTTGCCTGGCGGCACCGAGGAACACGACAGGGCCCCCCTCTCCGAAAATCAAAAACGCGGAAAGAGGAAAGAGGAGGGGAGGAGGGAGGGGGGAAGAGGGAACCGGAAGAGGGAGGAGGCGCGGGCGCGGCGGGGGGGTGTGCGCCCCCCCCACCCCCCCCTTAGGCGCCAGCGCAGCCCCGCCTAAGCAAGGAGCGGGGAGGAGAGGGGGGGAGAGGGGGCTGACTGGAAAAAAACAAGTTAAACGAAGCGGGGGAGGAGGGAGGGGGGAGGGGGGGGGCGCGCT